AGCCCCATAGGTGTAGTCCGTAGAACCAGATAGGTTTGAGCATGGCTTTGTATAGAATAATTTTGTTATGGATGTTAAGTTTTGATGTACGTCCAAGAAGCCTATACATTTGCCGGAATTTTAAGTCGAGCTGAATTCTTTTGGTCTGGATATGTTTCTTCCAAGTGAGACGTTGGTCAAGATGGAGGCCAAGGTATTTAGCATCTGTTACTGTTAGTATTCTTACATTTTCCATCCTTACAGGTGGCCATATATTGTGAAGGTTGGTAAATGTTATTTGAGTTGATTTTGTTTTATTTACTTTTGTTCTCCATTTCGTATACCAATCGCTGAGTATGTTCAGATGATATTGCAGGTTTTGTGAGGCTTGTACGGGATCTTCATTTACGGCTGGTAGTGCTACGTCGTCAGCAAAGGAAGCGATTGTAGTATTATTGGTCTCTGGTATATCGGCTGTGTAGAGTGAAAAAAGCAGTGGCCCTAAAACATTACCCTGCGGGACTCCGGAGTTGATAGGATAGAGGTTGGATTGTTGGTCTTTGAATTTTACAGAGAAATATCTATTTGATATGTAGGATTTAAGTAGGAGGAAATAGTTACTGGATAGTGCTATTTTCACTTTGTAAAGCAGACCTCTGTGCCAAACTTTGTCAAACGCTTATGAGATGTCTAGAAATACAGCGTTGCAGTATTTCTTTTCTTCAAGATTATAAGAATAAGAGATTTGTTTTAGTTCTATAAAACCATAATTTTCCAATCGCTTTGTTCATAACCGACCTTAATGCGCTTCTTTAACTTGATATATTTTTTAAAACTTTAGACCAAATAAATTTCTACTTTGTGACGAAATTCGAAAAACGTGCAATAATAAACAACATTAAAAAGGATATATAGCTTGTAAAATACACATGCGACAATAATGTATTTAACATTATATTTTTCGATAAAACGCCAAACTGTGTTAAAACGACCAATGTGAAATTATTGCCTAAATGCATTTTCAAACCAAACTATATTTCATACTTGCATACAATACTCGCATAATTATGCAAGCGTTAATGGTAGTGTAAATTAAATTCTTTAAAGTTTATGATAATCTGATAATTTGAATAATATCATCATAAACAGATTGTTGATTTAGGTTTTATATATTTTATTATATCGCTAAGTGTTCTCTTCTAAAAAAATACTTTATAAACGATATATAATTAAAACACCCAATCCAAACTACCGCTCCTGAAACTGCATTTATTTGTTGTAACATATCATTTAGTTCTTGGATATTATCGGCTATTAAAACTATGTCATCTGCGAATCTCAAGTGGTTTAAGTATGATCCGTCGACGTTGATACCCTTATTGTTCCATTCCAGTTTTGTTCCATTCCAGTTTCTTAAAAATATCTTCTAGAGCAAGGGTAAATAGTTTGGGAGAGATGGTGTCTCCTTCTCTTACTCCTCGTTGTAGTCTTATGGGATTAGTTTTTGTGCTTTTGTCCAGATTTATCTGCATATTGGCATTTTCATATATGTTAGTGTATCTTGAATCTATACGTGCCTGTTCTAGAGATTCAAGCACTGCCCATAATTCGATGGAATCGAATACTTTGTGGAAATCGACCAACTCCATATGAATTGGAACATTATACTCGGTGCATTTTCCTATCAGTGTTCTTACGGTGTGCAAGTGGTCTATGGTATAAAAATGTTTTCTGAATCCAGCCTGCTCGATAGGTTGATAGAAATCGAGCTTATGTGTTAGGCGGTTGGTTATGATGTTAGTGAGTAATTTATACAAATGTGATAGCGAGAATATTGGTCAGTAATTCTCGATGTTTGTTGTGTCTCCTTTCTTGAATAGTAAAATGACTTCGGAGTTGTACCATTCTTGAGGAGTCTTTCTTTCATCAATTACTTTATTAAATAAAATATTTAATACTTGTTCCATTTTTCTGCCACCAATTTTCAATATTTTAACTGTAATCTTGTGCTCTTCCGGATATTTATTCATTTTTAGTTGATTTAGAGCCATTCTTATTTCATAGTCGGTTATGTCCGGTATTTCTTCTGAGCCAGTGTTAATTATTGTTTGTTCAGTACGTCGTTGTTGTGGTTGTGTATTTACCGAGTATAATTTAGTGTAGAATTTTTCAATGGCCTCGCTTATTTCCTTTCTGTCTCGGACGGTGACGTTTTTCTCATTTTTTATTTCTATGATTTCTGTTATGCCGCTTTAGTTTTTTGCTTTCAGTACTTTCATATTGCAGTAATCTTGTATTATATCTTTTATTAGATTGTTAGTATAGTTTCTATGATCTTTCCTGATTTCTTTCTTTACGTTTTCGTTTAAACTTTTAAAGCTGTGCGAAGTTCGATCTGTTCTGTTTCGTCTTTCTTGGAGTAGTTTAATTGTATTAGGTTGCAGTTTAGATATTTTGGCTGTTTTCGTGTATGAGCATATTTTCTTAACCGATGTTGTTACAGTTACTTTTATTTTATTGGTAAGTCCGCTTATATCCATTTATTTCAGTGTCTCTATTGATTTTAGTCTTATGCTTAGCTCTTTTTAGTATTAAGTTTGTTTTTGAAACAGGACATCGGTGGTTTTGTATCGTTCTCGTTTAATAGGTTTGTTTGTTTTGTTTAATACTGTCACGTCGTTGCATATGTGTTTGTTATTGGAAAGTATGTAGTCTATTTCGTTCTTAGTTTTTTTGTCTGGGCTGATCCATGTCCATTTATGTTGTTTAGATTTTTAAAAGAAAGTGTTGAGACAAAATAAATTTTCGTTGTTTAAGTAGTTGTACAAAATCTCACCCCTTTCGTTCCTGTTGTCCAGCCCAAAGCGACCGATATATTGTGTGTCGTCGTCTTCTTTTGTTCCAATTTTTGCATTAAAATCTATGATTATTACAAAGTGTGATTTTCTTGGTTCCTTGCTGTTGTCAGATCAGCGTAAAATGATTCAGCTTCCTTGTCTCTGGAGTTTCCTGTCGGTGCATATCAATGTATTATCTGTAAGCTGTATCTGCTCTTCAAAGCGATGACAAGATATATGACTCTGTTTGATACAGCACAGTACTTCGTTATTTTATAGTGAGTTCGTTTGTTTATTAGGAACGCTACACTCCCATTTGATGATTTTCTACGGAGTTTTTCTGGTATACCTGATGACCAGATTTTAAGATACATGAATCTCCTGGTAAGCGAGTTTTGCACAGTCCAATTATCTCCTATTTGATATTTGAGAGCTCTTGTTCTAGTTCGTCAAGGTATTCTTGGCTCCTCATAGTTCTTATATTGTAAGTGGTTATACAAAGCAATAATGGGTAGTTTTTGTTATTAGATTCAGTCGAATATTTGCCTCCCCCAGAATCCATGAGACTGATTGATTGCTCAGTGTGAGATTCTGAGTGTATAAATCTACTCACCTGGGGTAATTTAAGTAGCAATTAGATCTATATTAACATATACGGCGGAGACAAGATCTGACACATGTAAATCGGACAACTACTAGAAACAAGAGAGATGAAAATACTCCGACGAATATCAGGTAAAAGTCTGTTGGATAGGGATAAGAAGAGCATGCAATATAGAAGACATAAATGAATGAGTAACAAAACGGAAACAGGAGTTAAACAAACACATTAGTAGCATTGAGGATGGGATAGTATGAATAGCACGAGATAAGTTACCAAATGGAAGAACAAGTATTGGGAGACCAATAAAAAGATGGTGCGACAATTTAAACAATTTAGGAGGCTAATATTGAAAAAGAAACAGGCTTTAAAGCCTACATACAAAAAGGAAGCAAAAGTTATAAGGTCATAAAATAAATAACTGATTAAGTGTTAAAGAATAAAGTTGGTTAGATGTTATTCATGCTGTTACTCATACTTCATGATGGTAAATTTTTCATGAAAAGAAACTGAATTTAAAAAAAAAAGGAGCCAAGGCTGTCTCCCAGTCTTTTATAATGGATCGGTCCATTAACATCTCGAAGTTTTAAGGGTTCTGTCTTGATGTTACAATGGCTTCTAGCCAAGGTTTTGCAGTTCCAATATTTTCTGTTTTCTTAATACCAGAGCACACTATCCCAAAGTTCCTGTCGCACTGTGAAAATGAATGGCCTCTAACAGGATAAAGGTGTGTTATTGTAACCTTACGAATTTTTGAAAGCCAAGAACAAAACTTAAGTAAAGTTGCATTCCTGTTTTAGCCATCTGTTGCGTCTAATAATAGAACTATATTTTTACATTAGGATACTTAACAAAAATTTTGTTTAAAGAGTGGATTAAAAATGATACAACAGAATTGGCATTTTTATTTGCCTCTGTTTCTATAAAACAATAGAAATAGGATGTATCATCTTTGTGATTGTGAATATGAAAAGCTAGTTTGGGGATAGGATAGTTTTGACCGTAGTCAAATTCTAAGACTACCAGAGTAAGATCTGTCTTTGACTGTTTAATGTAATGTTTCTTACAGTACTGCCGCCTCTTTATTTTTCTTTTGTGTAGTTCGAACTAGACTCTACAGTCGTCTAAGGGGTTTCGCTTCAGTTTCTCCACACTTTTAGAACAGAAATCACAAACATCTGTCTTAGGGGCCCTAAACCCATAGTTGAAATAAGATTTAAAAGTTTTAAAATAATGCACATAGGACATTTTAAGTTTCCGTCCGATCTTGTCTTGAAAATATTCTTGAAAACTTCTATAAACGTTTTTCACGCATAATTCTGGGTTTTCAAAATACAAAATGGATGTTTTCTCTACACAATAATGGCTTTTGTTATGTGGAATAGATGATAAATGAGATCCCATAAAGTCAATGACATCCTCAATCAGTTTATGAAGGCGAGTTTTATGTAAGTCACGTTTCTCTTCAAAGTCTAAGCCCTCTAAGATTTTTGATTGAATAATTCTGACACGTTTCACTGAAATTTGAAATAATAATAAAATAAACTTTTGGCACACTTTTAGTTGTAGACCATTGATATTAATCACATAAGACCACACATTGACACGAGTTTTCTTTTGGTGTGTCTTGACATGCAACTAGCCAAATGGGCATCTTGAAGTGATTTAGATTGACTATAAAAAGTATCGTAAAGTTGTAACTGACAGTCTGCATCGATATTACTACAGCAACTGTCCAAGCAACAGCTACTTACAATACAAAACTCCTTTGCCATAACCTCAATCTGAGAACGATTGATGTATGATTCTCCGTTACTCTTTCTCTTCTTAGAACACTCACGTTTCCCACTTTCATCAGAATAAATTTTACGTTTCTTTTTCATAATACCAACACCTTCCATGACAGAAATGAATACTCTTATTAGTTTACCTAAAGTAAAACGTAATCTTAAACTCAATAATAAAGCAAAGACCGTCAACAGTTTGTTGTCAACAAACAACACATGATATTGCCCAAACAGGTGTACCAACTTGCATTCAAAAATCTCCCACACATTATAGAACCAAGATACAGGAATGCAACTTTGTAGAGTTACTCTTTAAAACATGGCCGTTCATTTAAAACGATTACCGGAAACGGGGCACATAGGACTATATGCCCCTTGTCCGGAAACCTCCTTAATTAGTAATTAATGACATATGTCATCAATTACAGCACAAGTCTTGCTTTTAAGAGTTATTTTAAATTAATCAATCAATCAATTAGCTTATAACGTTATACGCCGTCTTCTGATTTCCAGTCTCCATTTATCTTGGTCGTTCCAAAGGTTTTCTTCAACTCCTCTCTCCCTTAAGTCTTTATCGATTCCTTCCCTCCAACTTAATCTCGGTCTACCTTGCTTTCTTCTTCCATGCGGTATCCAGTTCAATACTTTCTTTGGTATTCTGTGTTCATCCATTCTTTGGACATGCCCATACCATCTTAATTGATTTATTCGGATGTTCTTTTTTATATTGTGCTTAACTCTTATAATTTCTCCTATTATTTCATTTATAACTGTCTAATCTTGATTTTCCAGCCTCTCTTCTCCCGAAATCCATTTCTGTTGCTTCTAATGCTTTTACGTTTTTTTCCTTTTAGTGGCCATACTGGCGGATCTCTACTTTTTTTAGTTAAACTTATAAAAACAATAAAAACCGATTTAGTGCAAATACAATAAATAAAAAGTCATAAATTTATTTAAAATAACATGTCATATAAATTTAAAGTGTTAATATATTTCAAGTAGCATACATATTTTGAAAAATAATCATATAAAGAATCTCATACATTTATTTTGTCTTTGTAGGGCAACAGCAATGTGTAAACCGTGTCTCCCTGTGAATAAAGCACCAAATAATTGCTGACATAATAATTAATAAGTCCATTCACATCTCTAAAACACTTCTCATTGAATTTTTCATTACCTAGTGCAATAAAGCCATCTTCTCGTCGTCTAATATTTAAATGGAAAACTTTACTATCTTGCACAACGGATATTGTACCTAGAATTGAATTCTGAGAAGGCCTGATAACGAATGTCCCGTTCTGTCTTGTCCTCAATAAATTCTCCACGGATTTTCTGCTAATATCTTTGTAAAAATCTTCGGTGGCGTGTTTCACGTACTCTGGAAATAAGATGGAAACTTTATTAGTTCTGTAACAGATACGAAAGTAAAATATATTGTCTGCAAGGTGTTGTCACGACAAATAATGGGAACATAGAATGAGAAAACAAAAGGTTTTTGGTAAAATCTAAATAGATGTTTGTTTAAAAACTAAAAAAGTATATTTTACATATTTTTCCTATATAAAACTTTAATCAATTTAGCTGAGGAAGCCAAAATAACTGTTATTTTAATCTTTTCAAGACAGTATATACCCATTTCGCTTGCAATGCCCCACATATGGTAGTGGTAACAGAGTAAGAGGAACATATCCCAAGAAAATAAGACAAGAATTTGCACTACTTATTACTCACAATACTCTTCAAGAACGCCGTTAAAAAATAACAATATAAACACTTAAAATCAACCCGTTAAACTTAAGTAGTCATTGCTTCTAAATACAACGTCAATAGATTTTATCTCTTGCTAGTTATCCAAGAAGACACTTTGAAACCTACTTAAAAGGCTGGGCTAAAATGAAAAGCTAATGAAATAAAAATAAATGGAAATGTTTTTTCTAAAGAAAGTCACTTCGGCAGTTAACTGAATGTTGAGTATAAAAGAACGGGGAATGTTTTAATGGTAGCAGTTAAGTTCATTTGCACGATAGACTAATTAATATTAGTGATTAATTAATAACTTAACTTTAAATCGATTAAAAATAAAACAAACAGCCATAAAATAATTTTTAATGTCGTGGTATAATGACAATAAATAAAGTTTTTTTATCAAAAAGCTGCTTCCTCCTAAAGTCATCACAAACTGAACATTTTGGAGCTTTGCTATTTGAGAATAGATGTGTTGTGTATACCTATACTCAGTCTGAGCCGTGCTAGAATTACTTCAGATCTTCTAGTTTTTGTTGTTGGTTGCCACGATGAAATGCTACTTTTAATCTGTTTTAGTTTAAAAACCAAATTTTGCCACTCCTACTTCAGGCTGTGTCAAGCTTTTTAAGTATTGTTGTTGAGGCTGAGGCATTTGCGATGAACTCATAATCCATTGCGTTATAATTAGTGTTTGATGTACTTTCCTATAATAGGTTTGTTTGATTTGATACCTAATGTCTATTAGCCGGTCAGATAGTCAAGCGGGCTAGGCGACCGGTTTCTCATTCGCTTCAGTGCGAGTGATTCAGTGGATGTGAGTTCGATCCCCAGCTCGGTGTACAGAAAACAAAAAGGCTAACGCAGCAGTTTAAAATTCGAGCGAGCCACCAACTTAGCCAAAACATATCGGCAGATGAACTCAACGCCATAAGGAATGCTTTGTATAATAGATTTGGTTACTGTTTGTTACAACTTGGTAGTTTGTTTGAATATTTAATTACCTAAGAATTAAGTTTAGATTTTCTAATTATTTGAAGTTATTTTTAATTTAAACAGTAGTGTTGAAATCATTTTTTATTTGATTTCATTTTTGAAATCGTAGGCTTCCACGGCCAGAGTGAGAATTATAGTTTATTCGTCTTTCGGGTTTGGACCGTGTCATTTGTGAGTGACCCAAAAGTGGGTTCATCTCGACGTTTAGCTACAATTGTATGTAGCTTCTTCAGGAGAACAAAGAAAAAAGAAAAAAGAAAAAGAAATCAAAAGACAGGAAGATGGGTAGTTAGCAACGGTAACTCAGTTACTCAACGCAACCAGAGGCGAATACTAACTACCAAGATGGGCATTTGGTCACAGTAACTCAACTACTTAACGCAGCCAGAGGTGAAAACCAAATGTCAGGACAGGGATTCACGTCCAACAGCTCAGAACACTAACGCGTCGAGAGGCGGGGAGTGAATCCGACGATTACTCCGCTACCGCTCACTCTGTCACTCTGTTTATAGAAAAAAGACTCACACGAATCGTTACCTACACCTACAGCTTCATCACACCACCATCCTGCCCAAAAGAATTCTGTGATCAACTCTCTCATCCATCGGGCCATTTCGATTTCTGAACCTGACAACCTTAGAGAAGAACTTAGCCATCTGCAAAAAACCCTTGTCGCCAACGGTTACTCCAAGTCCACAATTCAAAATATTACACACCGACATCTACATCCCCCTTTACACCCTAGGACGACAAATTCAGAATCTTCGGGTAATACTCCTGTGGCTTTTCTTTCGTATATTCGAAGTGTCACTAATAGGATTGGCAAAATTCTTCGCAAAGAATGTATCAGGACTACTTTTCGACCACCCAAGAAAATCTCACAATATCTACCCTCTCCTAAGGACCCATTACCGCATCTATCTTCCTGTGGTGTCTATTCTATTCCTTGTTCATGTGGACATGTGTATATTGGCGAAACTGGTCGTTCCGTCAAAACTCGGATTCAAGAGCATCAAAGATGCATTCGATCAGGTCTTTTCTCCCATTCTGCAGTTGCAGAACACTGCCAAGAAACCAGTGATTCCATATTGTTCGAAAAAACCCATATTATTTCTAAGAGCTCCTTCTTTTATTCCAGGAAAATCCGCGAATCTCTAGAGATCCGAAAAAATCCACATATCAATCGAGAGGAAGAATACTACTTGTCTCCCATCTGGAATCTTAGTCTAGAGCCGCCGTCCGGTCCCGCTACCACGATGCAGCCACATGATTGGCCAGCGCGCGCTTCTTGACGTTCGCGCCACGGAGTGTGCCGATACGTCCCGACACGACAGGTCACCGCGACTATAAATAGAGCGGTAGCGGAGTAATCGTCGGATAGGGAAGTAGGTACGATGCCATAAAAAGTACCTACAGAAAAAGACGAGGAAACCACCCAGAAAAGTCCAGGATGCCGAGAGGATAACAAATCAGAAGAAGATGGTGCAAAAGCGGAACATCAGGAAGAAAGAAGGCTGAAATTTTTAAGTTGACATGTATATATTATTAGGGCAATAAATGTTTTTATTTTTATTTTTATAATCCTCGGATTCACTCTCCGCGCTCGACGCGTTAGTGTTCTGAGCTGTTGGACGTGAATCCCTGTCCTGGCATTTGGTTTTCACCTCTGGCTGCGTTAAGTAGTTGAGTTACTGTGACCAAATGCCCATCTTGGTAGTTAGTATTCGCCTCTGGTTGGGTTGAGTAACTGAGTTGCCGTTGCTAACTACCCATCTTCCTGTCTTTTGATTTCTTTTTCTTTCTTTTTTCTTTGTTCTCCTGAAGAAGCTACATACAATTGTAGCGAAACGTCGAGATGAACCCACTTTTGGGTCACTCACAAATGACACGGTCTAAACCCGGAAGACGAATTAACTATGATTTCATTTTTATAGAACAAATTTTATACTAATTTTATCTTTTTTTTTTTTGTTTCATTTTTATAGAACTAATTCTTATTTTCACACTTAATACCTCCAAAAAATCTAAACGAAAATATAGTTTCAAAGATATTATTTGGAAAATACCAAATATTATCTTATTTTTCATCAAAAGACGTAATTTTTAGTGTAGTTTAAATTTAATACAATACACTTGCTCCCTCATAATACTGACCTACTGACTGTGTGCTTATTTATTATGCTTTATGAAAGAACAACTTAGAACTATTTTTTTAGTTCATATGGTTTATTTGTCGTTAACGAATCTACGTTTTCTCACTGGGAAGCCAACTAGTTGATGGTGTTCTGACGTTGAAATCTTTATTGATAGTTCGTTAAAGGATTTATTTATTGTAAATATTCAATTAAGAAGTCTTTTTATTAGTTAAAATCATTTACCTAGTACAAGCGTAATTATTGTTTTTTAAATTTGTAGAAGATGCAGCTTTTATGCCCGACTTTCTGAATTTTGCAATGATCGATTATTTTTAATTTGAAATATTAACACATGGAAGCCCTCGATTCACGTTTTATATTATTCACCAAACTAAATTTTTATTTGGAGTTGCTGTTTTGTCTAACGTAAATGTAAATTTATTCTGTGAGTACTAAATATTTACTTCATTAACTAATTGTGTGTTTAACATGTCTGCGCGTAAAGATGTTAGTATTTTATGAATTCACTTTGAGAAAGGCATTAACAGTGAGAAGGCTGTATGCAAATTTTGCAAAGAAAAACTTAGTTATAAGTAAACTACAGCAAATTTAAAAAGCCATTGAAAGTATTTAAGTATATTTTTCTTTGATTCAAGAAAGCATGTTTGTTTATGTACTTGCTTAAATATTTTAATTAGTTTTTCAAACTTGTTACTTGTTTACGAAAAGCAGTTCAGTTTTATTAACGATAAAAACGTCAACGACACACCTCTACTGTTTTTCTCGTTATTACAGTCAGAGAACTACGAACATAGTTCGTAGTTCAGTTTCCTTACTTTAAGAGCTCGACGTTGCCAAATAATTTTGTAAGAAGGTTTTTTATTGTGGTGTCATATTGCAGTTTATTATTTTTATGCGATATTTTTTAGGCGGTGCCAATAAGGAACAATGTAACTTTAAAATTTGCTCATTGTGATGTTTAAATTTCCAATTCGGAAATCGTACTTAAAATACGAAACATTAATAAATTTTATTTACATAAAACGATTTCCGAAGTGAAAATCAAAATGTTAAATTAAACTTATTGTAAAGGAAAATTGTGGCATATTAAAAATAGAAAACAGGAAGCTGCCATATAAATCAATTCGCCCAAATTTGATTATCTTAAAACGTTGTTAAAATGTTAAAAAGACAACAGGTCAAATAAAACCAATAAGTTTGGCAACGTTGAACTTCTCCTCTTTTCTTAGTTCCACTAATGCTATTTCGACGATATAAACAAAGAATATAGACGCTTATAGAAGAATCTTTCACTGTTATATTTGAAAGTTTGCAAAAGATGATCGCACGTTATGAAAAAGAATGAGAGGGTGGATCGAGAAGGGAGCGGTCATGTTAACGCTATTATTGCTTTTAAAATATGAAAGAGTGGGGCAACAAATGCAACAGATATTTTTATGTATAATGCCAGAGAACTACGAACACATAATGCCGCGTGGCCGTAGAATATGATTAAATTTTTGCGTTTTATAA